GCGTTACGTCTCTCTCTCTCTCTCTCTCTCTCTCTCTCTCTCTCTCACGGTGATTTATATCGGTATTTATCCGCGGTGAATCCACGAATAAAGGAGGAGAGAGAGAGAGGAGATCGATCGAGAGGTTACGACGACACTTTCGATTGCCGGTTAACCGGCAGAATAGAGAAGATCAAAAGGGTGAATTGGACGGAACGGATAAATAGGGAGGAACGATCTTTGTGGATAAGCTCTCTCGGCTTCCTTCGTTTTTTTTAATCGATCTGGTGGAAGTACGCTATGCATTCCGTTTTAGCCATCCCACTATGTTTATAAAGTATAAATTATCGTTCACGATAATGGTCGCGTGTAACGCGTTTCAGTACAAAACGAGCAACTCGTACCGCAACTCGTGTATCGATTTCCTTGTTTACGCAGAATTGCTTCATTCTGTAAAAAGCGAATAAAATTTTGTAACGCACGCGCCGCTCGACCGAGCATTAAACGGAGAAAAAAAATTCTTCGATATCCTGATTACATCATTTGAGTTTGCATCGACAGTTTTTCCATCCAGTTGTTTTTTTTTTTTCCAATCTGTATTGAATTTTATCTACACGAAATTGTCTCGAAAGGATTGCGATCATTCTGCAACGTTCTTCCCTTCAGCTACGGAAGCGTCGAGTGTATTTATACGTTCGTATCGCTCCGATAATTTCTCGAGGGTTAATAAACGACATTGCCAATGTTCCATTTCCATCCGTCAGTATCCAAGGTCCGTTTTAACCCGCGTCTCATCGATAATTCAAAAGAGATCGTCGGTGCCAAGACACGCGTCGCGCGACCACCAGCTGAACTCGACATATGAACGGAAGCGGGCCAAGAGAGCGGAAAAGAGACGGCCGCGCGAAGATGGAAATAAACCGGACGGCTGTGAAGTGGAAGAGGTGTCGAAACGTAACGAGTTGTCGAGGGCGAAGGGTGCGAACGGAAACGAGGTGTTTCCTCGAGGGAAAGGAGGGAAGGACGAGGAAGGAAAGGAAGAAGAAGAAGAAGAAGAAGAAGAAAAAGAGCGCGAGAGAGAAAAAGTGGAGAAGAGAGAGAGAGAGAGAGCAAAAGAAAAAGAGAAGAGAAGAGATGATCCGGTGTATAACAGTGCGTTCGTGGATCGGGTCGGGTTAGATTGGGTTGGCTTGCGTGGGGTTAGATATCCGGGTGGAGGGAGATGGTGATCGGTAGGTGGTGTGCTGACGTCATTACAGCGGCATCATCAGCCGCGTGGGCCAATAGGGACGCTCACTCGAGCCAGGTCCATCGATCCGCCGGCTGCTGTCGTGTGTGTGTTTATGACGTCCAAAGGTGACGTCATCGTTAGCGCCGTTCGCCGCCGCCGTCGCTATACACGCTACGGTTTTAATATAGCGGAGGAACGCGCGCGATCCAGACTCAGTTACGCGGCGGCCGGCCACCCGTGCGAGAGCGTATCGCTTTCTTGCAAAACGTGCCCGCGCTGTTTTTCACTTTCTTTCTCTCTCTCTTTATCTCTGTCTCCTCGCTATTTCTCTCAGTTCTACTTCCTTTCTCTTTCGTTCTTAACCGCGATCAACCGCCGGTACAACACTCGTCGCGCTGTTATTCCTTTCGATCCTTGTCGAGAAAAAGAAAAAGAACAAACAAATAAAAAAAAAAAAGGATTGTGCATCGAGTTTTCTTCGTGTGCAAACGGATCGTGGATAATCGTGAGACGGAGCGTGTCAAGTGTCAAGGAAATTCAGGGTTTACGTACCCTGGGAACGGAAGGAAGGAAGAAAGGAAAGAAGGAAGGAAGGAAGGAAGGAAGGAAGGAAGGAAGGAAGGAAAGAAAGGTGGTGTAGCCAAGGACGTTTGTGTTTGAGTTTCGCGTGACCAACGAAAGAGAGAGAAGAGACTATTGGCGCGTTTTCGAACACGCGTGGTTCCGCGTGTACGGGACTCGGTGCGTCCTCGCGATTCTCCACGTTCTCCGGCAACGGGACCCGTGATTTCATCGTCGACACGTCAGTAAGAAGAATCTTGTCTGGATCATTGTTTTCGACGGAGTAGAAGAGTGCGGACCGTCGTGCCGATGCCGAAAGGATTGGTCGACTCGAACGCGAGAATTTTGGGGAACAGCAGCACGACGTTGACAGTGGCAACGATGTCACCGTTCGGGACGGAGGGACGATAAATTTGGAAGGAACGCGGGAAAAATATAACAGGATTCTGCATGCGAGAAGTGTTCGAGCTCCTCGGTGGAGTGCTGACCTCCGAAGACGTATTCCGGAAGGATTCGTCTAGCCCTACGACAACGCAGACAGGTCGGTGATGCACGTGTGTCATCCACTTGTTTTCATTGTGTTGTGGGTGAGTTATGTGTGTGCGGCTTTCGACTGGATCACGTTGTAGACCACGTATCACTGTTCTGTCTTGTCCTGTCGATTCTTGTCGTTTCTCATCCACGCGGATAATGATACAGTCGAGGAATTCCACCCAATTGGCTGATAAATTCACGGCGTTTACGGAGCCGTGACAATTATCGACTGCGAGTTATCCCCTTTCACTCTCACACCCGTCGCTCATCATCGTTTACTCGTTCATTACTTCACACACACATACACAGCTTCTCGCGTACGCTTTTTGCTTCACCTTTTGGTTTTCCAAATCGTCGAGAGAGACCGCTGCTAAACTCGTAAGCGTTTCCAGAGAAGGAACTATCCATCTTTCGACGGGATGATATCGCGCCCTGAATAACACGCATTCGTGTACATCCATCATCATCATCGATGTGAAATCATCTGCCCGATTCTCCGCGTATTATACACCCGCCCGAGGAGGGTATTCTCCGCGGGATCAGCTGTTGTCGCGTCCACGAACCACGTGTAACTTTTCCAACTCGCTTTTCCGTTTAAGCACGTCCCGATCGTGCACGTGCGCGCTTGCGCGGCCGTGCTGTATACAGAAGCGAGAGGATCCGGGTGACGGAAAGGTGAAGGAGGGCGAGGAGAAGTAAGTAAAGAAAAAAAAAAAAAAAGTAGCGAGAGAGGATCGTTCGTCGTAGGATGATCGCGGTCGTCGAGGAGGAGGTGGTCGATCGTCATCCGCGCGGCGGGAACGTTTGAAAAGGGGGAGAAAAAAAAGAAAAAGAAAGAAAGGAGAGGGAGCACGGGATCGAGGGACCGGCGGGGATCCCTGGTGTATCCGACTTGGATTTGGTGAATGAAACGGGTAAAAACGAGGCGCCATAGTGCTGCTGATCGTACGTGCGATGCGTACCGTGGAGGATACAGCCACGGAAGCAGCCGCAGTTGGTGCTGCGACCACTCACCAGCGTGCTACCACCGGCAGGCATCTGGTCGTCGATCAGAATCACGATCGCGATCACGATCAACGAGATCGATCGACCACGATCCATCTACCGACTACACCGTACCACCCGGTCACCATTGCGGCGGACACCAACAACAATCATGACCATCATCGCAACTTCGAGCATCACGCGGCGCAACGCCACGATCACTGGAACAAGTGTAAGTCATCTAATAGAAGAAAAAAAAAAAAAAAAAAAAGAAGGAGGAAAAACCGTGAAACAAAGACCTTGAGACAGTCCTGAGTTTATAGTTTATAACCATTGTGTACATAAAAAAATTGTACAATGCTCGCTGATGGCTGGTTAGGTTGTGGTTAAAAGGTGATGGTGGTGGTGGTGATGGTGGTGGTGACGGTTGGATGATTGACATAAAAAATTATCGATCGAGGAGATGGATCGACATTCTATTTTATTTCGTTCAAAGCGATCGATGTTCGCGTTGCTTTGTTCCAAGTTGTTCCATTTTCTTCGCGATTCGATCGATTCGAGTTCGATCCTGTTCGATTCAATTTTTTTTTCCTCTTTCCTCCTGTCAGGGGAGGAGGATCGACGAGAGTTCGGCGAGAGACCTTTATACACCCGTTCGAATCGATCAGAGATCTAAATACAATGGCGTACGTGCAACGAATTCCCGCGCGCGCGTGTGTACCGCTGCTGTTTGGAAAACGAAAAAGGTTAATGGGGATGGCATTAAAGAAACGAAGAGCGAAACGGAGATGAGGTGCGAACGATAGAGCGAAGGGACGAATTGCCCCCTCTCTAACCGTTTCTTCTCTAACCAATCGATTCGAGCTGCGAATAGGATCTAGAGGATCTTACCGCGCACCGATCGATCGTTGACTTTCCTTCAACGGAATCACTTCGGATCGATTCTTTTCTAAAAAAGAAAAAGCTTCATCAACTTTCATCATTCGCATATACCTTTATCCATCGATTTCATTTCGAAAAATCACCACCATCATCGTTGTTTTTCTT